CAAATTATGCCAAGATCCCTAGATGATCGATCACCTACCGCGTGATGACGCCCGACGACATGGTCGATGCACACCGCGATTCGGGCTACGGAGAACACAGGAGAGGAAGAGGACGAGACGAAAAGCCATGGTCTTCGAGGACGCATCCTGCTGTGCCGTGGAATCACGAGCAGCGAAGAGGAGGTCAGCCATTGCACCGAAAGCCTATGCAAGTCCCGTTGCTTCCACATTCGATCCAGCCACGCCGCTACTATCTTACTTTAGCGACACTAGATGAGCTCACGAAAGGCCCTGGCCCCTTCTGTGCGCAGACATGTTTTTGGACAAGGTGGACTCTGTATTAGGGTATCCCCCACGATTGATGCCGAGGCCGCGTACTAGGACTTGAAGACACCCACAGAAAAGGCACCGCTGGGCCCTATCAGTTGGTTTAGAGAGTTTCTCGCACTCGGGATCATAGCAACGCGCAGCGGTGCGGTACCCGGGATACGACAGCGGATGGATACCCTAAGGGCTCCATCGACCGTGATCTAGTCTTACATGTTATGGGTGGATATCAGAGCGACACACTAAGAACCATATCTCGGTCACGCTCCTACTGCCAACGCGCGAAGCCGCTGCCGGTCAACCGCCTCGATGGCCCCATGCGGTCCGAGGGGCTGCTCAGCTGCGGCCACCAGTTGCAGGAGAGACGGGGGCCTCTTTCTGGCCCTATTCAGAGCCTTCGTGGAATCACGACTGCTCAATGGGAGCGCGCGCCCGCGCCCCTTTTGTTTATCTTTTGTCGCAGAGCCGCGACCGCCTGGAAGCGCGCGCACGCTCGCGCTCTTTGCGCCACCCTTCCGTCGGGAACTATAACCCTTGCATGGCTTCAGTGGCGCGGGCTCGCGACGCGAACGGTCGTTCTGCCCGACGCGGGGCCAGCCCCACAAGTGCCCCTCAGGGCTTTCTGGGCTGCCTGCCGGCTGGTCCAGCAAAAGCTGCGCATTCTGATTTGCCTCTGCCTTGTCGCACTTAGCCGCCAGGCTTGCAGACCCATGGAAACGTGACCCTGTGCCTCGCACACTCGTCTATAACACAAATATCTATATATACATACATACATACATACATGCATGCATACATATATACATACATACATACATACATACATACAGACATACATACATACATACATACATACATGCATGCATACATGCATGCATGCGTGCATGCATGCATGCATGCATGCATGCATGCATGCATACGTACATACGTACATACATACATACATACATACATATATACATACATACACACATACAGGCATACATACATACATACATACATACATGCATGCATGCATGCATGCATGCATGCATGCATACATACATACATACATACATACATACATACATACATGTATGCATACATGCATACATACATACATACACAAAATGATCACGTGCAAAGTTCGTAACAGAACCTTTCGGCCACCTAATATTTGGCGACCGCCGCGAGCCACCATAGGGACATCAGCGACCAGCTCCCCCCCCCTCGATTTTGAGGGAATGTCCCAGGTGGGGGAAATATGCTTGCCTATATTGCTGCCGGGCCGCCCCTGTCAAGGCAGCGTCGCCCTATCTGCCAGCGCAGGCGTCGTTGCCTGCGCTCTATTGGCGGCGTCAGGAGTGAAAAGGGTTTTTGTTCCACCTATGCTCATTTCAGACGTTGGCGAGATACCTTGCGACTAAGAGCGACACGCACGGTTAATATTGGTTGACTCATGTTGTGAACCACCTGCAATGATACGAAGCCAAGTACATGCGCGCGCCCGCGCGCGCGAGACCCGAAAAGATCCAACAACCAACGGTTACCCCAAGCATTTCAACATTGAGTTCTCCAAATACGCGCGTGAAGGCCTGTGACCGCTCAGAGTAATGAAAGCAGGTTCAAATGTTTAGCACGCGCAGGCCACTGCTCATCAACCCCATTGTCCAGCTGCGCGCACGGGTTCATCGACGCGCGTGGTCTTCCGATGATAGCCGACGAATCAGATGAGAGGACCCCTTTGGGTCGAGCGTGCACTGCACAGTTCTCTTGGGCAACATTGGGTTGTTCGGACGCGATGGGGTGAGAGGAAGTATAGCTTCTTGATAGGATGGGCTGGTGGATGGGCAGGACCGCCGCAAGAAACCCTAAGTCTTTAACCGTAGTAATTTGCGCGATCCCTTCCCCCGTACACACAGGCTCAGGTTTCTCTTCAGATTTGAGTCGCCGCCCCACTCGCAAAATCTTTGCCGCATCGCTCTTACTGGCGCGGCTGCCCCAAAGAAAGCGTGCCCGCGCGCTGCCGCACCTGTTCCAATGTTTAATTTCTCTCTTAGGATGTGGGTCGCCGCCCCACTCGCGAAATCCGCGCCGCGTCGCCCTTGCTGGCGTGGCTGCCCCAGAGAAAGCGCGCCCGCGCACTGTCGCACCTGCTTGAATTCTTAATGTTGCGTTGTTTTCTTTTCCAGCATCCGTCTGCAATATGGTAGTAAACCTTTTTCGCCGAGTCTTTGGAGGAGAGCCAACCTTGTACAACGCCTCGGAAAAAATGGCACGGGTCGGACGCAAGGCTTCTCAAAGAGCTCCCGCGCCAGAGGTGTTTGGACTTCCTGAACGGATGATTCAGGTGCGATTCTGCAGTGATTCAACGATGATCCGGAGTATTTCCGAGTGACTCGGGGTTCTGGACCCCCGACAAACGCGCGCGCGAGCTACGCCCCGAGATGATCCAGGTGCCACCAGCGAAACCTCTTTAAAATATATTTGCTTGTACACACACATATGCATATATATATATATAAATGTTAAGAAGGGTAGAGAGAAAAAGAAAAAAAATTGAGTGGCCCCGTCGCAGCCCCCCGCCCCTTTCGGCCATCCGAAGAGGAATGGCGTCTCTTGAATTGTACCACCGTTCGGGCCTCTACAAGTTTACCACCGTGTGTGCACGCGCGGGTGCGCGATGGGCGCGTGCGTGGTATTCCACGCCAGATGTCCCGACATTGAACCCTAAGAGGAAAATTGAGCAACTCTGCCCTAAGCCGTGCTGGATCCAATCTGGCCCCGCCATTTTCCCATGTGCTTTCGTATGTATTACGGATTGCGTGTCCATCTTACTTTCAAATGTGTGCCATCTGGTGCCGCGACCGATGCGCCCCAGCCAGCCTTCTGCTTCTGTCATGTATGCCAGAAATAAGAGCATAGGTGCGACTTCCTATCCTACCTTGGCTGCTTTCCTAAGTAAAAAAAGTACGTGGTTGACATTAGTTGGTATAGTCGACAACAATTGCGGAAAAAATACGGTATTGATCACATGCGCGTTCACGCGCTCGCGATGTTTTCAAACACAGAGCACTTCATTACGAATGATATGTTCCTGTCTGAGTTTCTGCGCGCGCCAATGCTCATCAACGCGATTATCGAGAAGCGCGCTTTGATTTATCAATTTGCTTGGCCTTCCGAATGGATTCGGCGAACAAGTCGAGATCCGCTAAAAATTTTAATCGGTCACGTCTTGTATTGCAATTGGCATTGAGGAGGAATCTGATAGCGGGATTGGCTACGGAAGGATGATTTCAACAAGAATCCCCATCGTCGCCATCGTCAGCAGCATCACTCACCGTCGTCCCCGACGGGCGTTCTGGGTTGGCACGGCCTGGAGATTGGGATGGGCAGGTGGGCGGGGCTGCGGTCCCCCAAGGCATTGGCTATTTTGTAGTGAGCTGCGTTTTTTTTCTCGGGTTGAAAGGGTTTTTTTTCGGGTTGGCGCGCTGCGGAGGCCCCAACCCGAAAAAAAACCCAACCCGAAAAAAAACCGGATGGCGAGTTTTTTTTATGGATTGGAGCCGGAGAGAGAAAAAAAAAAAAAAAAAAAATGCCAACCGACAAAAAAAACAGCGTCTTCCAGCAGGCCAGAGGGCACGGCACGAGACCCCGGGCAGCGATCCGAGGCCACGAGGCCCCTCGGCCACGGCCTGGGGAGACCGCGGGCCGCGGCTTCGGGGCCAGTGGCGCACCCCGTGGGCCTGGAGGGAGCAGGCCGGAGGTCTGCAGCCACGCGGCTCAGAGAAAGATGTCAATCTAGGCCTCCTAGATGGGGTCGGAGCAGACGGGGTCGGAGGATTGCGCCACATCGCCGTTGCATCGCCGTTGCGGCTCGATGTGCAGCCCGAGTTGCCTCGCGTCGACGTCGCCGATGCATCGCGGACGTGGACGATGCATCGCCAGTGTATCGCCGATGCATCGCCGATGCGTCGCCGATGCATCGCCGATGTATCGGCGATGCGGCGCGATCCTCCGACCCCATCTACTCCGACCCCATCTAGGATGCCTCCAATCAAGCGTCCTTGCTGTGGGCTGGGATACGTGAGACACCCAGGGAGGCAGACGGCAGCCAGACGATGCAGGCGAAGCCGAGCAGGTTGAAGCCAGCCGAGGGAACAGAAGTCCAGTCAGCCAAGGAAGCGAAGGTCAGCCAGCGCACAGTGAGCCCAGGAAAGATACTGGGTGGCCAAGGCAGACTGAGGGAACCAAAGACGTTCTAAGCACGAGGGTAATTGGTGAGGAGCTAGGTAAAGCCTAGCTTAGGTCGGCCAGGTAAGCTAAAAGCCTATGCAGATATGTCACGTTAGAGCGAGCGATTGTAATAGAAGGTTCATGTGGACGAGTAGGTCTGGCTTAACAAAGGCTTGCTACTAGATACCACTCCGAAGCTGCATTGAGGCCAGTTTCACGAACGCGAACGTTGCGCAGTAGCGAGGAAAGTCGTCACCAGTCAACCGTTCAGGAATCCACCCTCGGTTTACCTTGCCCGCGCTAGGTAGATGACACAGCTGTCCCGTCCAAGCCCATTCGCCGACCAGCGTTTACCAACTCGCATGTTATTATTCGTCACTTGTCCATGTCATGAGTCGTTCTGGCTCAAGCTGCGTTGAGACCAAAACAGCTTGCTCAGACCGAACCAACGCGCAGCAATGAAGCTCTGTTTGAAGTGTGCGCTTGTGCTTGCAACCTGCATCCCAGTCCGCGCATCGCTTCTTCGCAGCGACGGCAAGCAGGACAGGCGTGCCATTACAAGCACCAGTTTGCGTGCAAGGGTAGGGTACATGGTGCAGGATCTCTTGAGAAGCAAGGATACCACTACCCGGCACATCGCGAACAAGGTGCACGATAAGATGCTATTGAGCGACGCGATGTCCCTGCTGAAAACCAAGCTACCTCAGGACGTGGCGTCATTGCTGCACCTCGCGCATGGAGAGCACGCGGCAGGTGCGTACAGCGAGGCGTCGTTGGCAAAGGGCCGAGTCTATCTGAACAACATGATGTACGACGCGTGGCTGCAGCTGGATCAGCTCGAGGTCCAGTGCAAAGAGTTCGAGGAGAGCAATCGCATGGTCTTCAGCCAGGTGGTCACCGATCTGGAGCAGCTCGGCGCGGAGACGGCCGACAGGGAGCGCATGAAGACCGAGGCCGAGGGTGGCGTTGCGGACATGGACACGCGAATCACCGATCTCGAAGCGTCTCTCAACACTATCAAGCGCAGCTTCCAGAGCATCCGCGAAAAGAACCAGTACGACTTGACACTGATGCAGGACGACCTAGATGTCTTCACCGCCATTCTGCAGCTGTCGAAGTGTCCGAACGCGTACGGTGACGACACGTATTCCTTCACCCAGTTCCAGATTTGCGACACGGCCGATGGCATGGCGGTGGAGACAAACGACACCACCCTCTCGGCCAAGATCAAAAAGTCGCCGCGCGTGCAGAAGGCTTTGCACGAGGTCATGGTCACTGGAGAGCCTCCTGCCACCCCCTCACTGCTGCAAACAGGGCAGGAGCCCCCGCCCGAACCGGTCAAAAAGGAAAAAGCAAGTTCGAGGAAGTGTGTCAATGGCAAAGTAAATTGTGGTTACCTCCACGATTTGATGGCCCTGGAGTGGGGTAAGTTCAAGGATCTTGTCGATGAGCTCACCTATATCATGCAACAGAATCGGGACTCCTACGAAGGCGAGAAGGAGAACATGAACGAGCAGATCGCAACCCTAAGGAATAACAAAATGAAGTTCACAGAAATGCTGGGAGAGGCGATTTCTGCTCTCAACTCTCTCACAGCAGCGACGCGCGAGAAGCAACAGCAGCACCGCGATCTCGAATATGCGTTCAAGGTTAAGATGGCGGACTGCAAGAAACGCATGACCGAGATCCTCTACACGAACATATGTGGAACCAGGACCGTGCGCAACGCGCTGATGAGGTACAGCACGGTTTCGCCCACAAACGCTATCAAGGACTGCGACGTGACGGATTGGTCTGCAGGACCGTGCACAACCGATGGCAGAGGCAACTCGGTGCCAGTGGATTGCGACGACACTTGCCCAGCCGACGTTGGGGGCGTTGATGTCAACGCCTGCGGTGGCATGAAGCATCTCACTCGGCAGATCATCACATCCCCGAATTCATTCGGCATGGCATGTCCCCCTTTGTTCTATGAGCCGAAGAACGGGACCGCGGGCATGAAGTGCAGCCAGTTCCATTGCCCAGTGAATTGCCAGATGTCCGAGTGGTCTGGCTTCTCCCAGTGCTCCAAGGAGTGCGGAGGTGGGACCCAGGGCAAGACCCGTTCCATCCTCGTGAAGCCCAAGAACGGTGGGACGGAGTGCGATGCGACGCTCGATGAGCAGCCTTGCAACACGGGATCGTGCGATCGCGACTGCACCCTCATGCCGTGGACGGCGTGGGAGCCTTGCTCGATGGCCTGCGGGGGCGGCATTCAGGAGCGCACGCGCGCGGTAGACATTCCTATCCGGGCGAACGGCAAGTGCCCCGCAGAAAAACATCCCGACCGATTCGAGATGCAGGAGTGCAACACCCAGGACTGCGTCGGCGACGAGATCTGCATCGCCAGGCAGGACCTCGTGCTCGCCCTGGACGGCAGCGGCTCCCTGAAGCAGGAAGGCTTCGACTACATCAAGAAGTTTGCCCTGAACCTCACGAGCAAGTACCAGAGCGTGTACTACGGCGTGGAGGACATGCGCATCGGCCTGGTGTTGTTCGGCAACGGCGAGTATTTCGACAACGGGACCGTAGCGGCTGCCCTCGAGGTGGTCCCGATCACCAGCGATTTGGATTCCGTCTCGACGGCTATTGAAGGGTTGCAGTGGCAGCGCGGGTTCACCAACATGATGCAAGCACTCACGGCTGCTGACAACATGTTCGCCGACGGCCGCGATGATGCGCAGAGTGCTGTCATGATGATATCCGACGGCAAGTGGACCAACGCGTACCGCACCTCTATGAAAGCAACGGCTATGAAGGACAAGGGAGTACAGATTTTCATGGCCCCCATTGCAGAGCATATGACAACAAATCTGAAGATATCCAGCTGTCTGCGGCAAGTCCCGCCACCGTGCCAGCCGAGCATTCTGCTTAGCGACTAGTCGAAGGACCAAGGGAGGCCGTCACGTGTGATATGTTGTGTCCCCGGATTTGCGGGAGACGATGGTGATGATGAGATTGATGATGTTGATGATGATGATGATGACGAACATGATGATGATGATGATGATGATGATGATGATGATGATGGCGATGGCGATGATGTTGATGTTGATGTTGGTGGTGGTAATGATGATGATTGCGATGATGATGACATTGATGGTGATGATGATGATGATGGTAATGATGACGATGACGATGATGATGATGGTAATGGTAATGGTGATGGTGATGGTGATGATGATGACGATGGTGGTGATAAGAATAGTGACGGTGGCGGTGATAGTGATGGTGACATTGATGACGACGTCGCCGTCGTCGGCAACGATGATGACAATGGTGACGATGATGATAGTGAGGGGGGCGTTGATGAGGATGATGCGAATGATGGTGGCGGTGGCGATGGTGGTAATGATGATGGTGCTGATGCCAATGATGATGATGATGTTGATGGCGGTGGTGATGATGATGATGATGGTGATGATGATGGCGGCAGTAAAGGTGATGATGTTGATGATGTTGTTGATGATGATGATGATGAGATCGATGATAAGAATGAGGATGAGGATGATGATGGTAATGACGAGGATGTGCACGATGGTGATGATGATGGTCATGGTAGTGGTGATGGTGGTAATGTTGATGATGGTCATGATGCTGATTATGATGCTGATGACGATGATGACGATGACGATGTTGCTGGTGACAGCGACGACGACGATGTCGACGATGATGATGGTGATGACGCTGATGATGATGATGGTGATGATGGCGATGATGATGATGATAATCATGATGAAGGGACCGACTGTATGATGAAGATGATGGCGATGATGGTCATGATGGTGATAGTGATGGTGTTGGTGGTGATGATGATGATGATGATGATGAGTATGAAGACGATGGCAGTGATGCTGATGATGACGATGATGATGGTGATGCTGACGGTGGTGATGATGGCGATGGTGATGCTGATAATCATGATGAAGGGAACGACGGTATGATGATGATGACGATGGTGGTCATGATGGTGATGGTGATGGTGTGGGTCATGGTGATGATGACTATGATGACGATGGCAGTTGGTGACGATAATAATAGTGCTGAGGACGATGTTGATGACGATGATGATGATGATGATGATGATGATGGTGATGGTGATGATTATGATGATGATGATGATGATGATGATGATGATGATGATGGTGGTGGTGATGATGATGATCGTGATGGTGATGGTGATGGTAATGTTGATGGTGATGGTGATGGTGATGGTGGTGGTTGTGATGAGAAGGAGGGGGACGATGAGGATGAGGAGGAGGATGTGAAGGAGGAGGAGGAGCGTGAGGAAGAGGATGAAGAGGAAAGCCATCACATGTTACACCGTTTCGTCTTCACTAGTTGAGCAGTCCTGATGGAACTCGTTTGGACCGTCGTGTGGCCATCCTGGCCTCCTGTGAGGCAGTCTTGGGGGGCCCTCTTAGGCCGTTTTGGGTTCCCTCTTGGAGCCGTCTCTGGGCCCTCTTGGCCAGTCTTGGGCGCCTCTTGGGCCGTCTTAGAGCCCTCTTTGGCCGTCTTGGGGCGTCGGAGGCTCGAAAAAGCGAGAATCCCAAAAACATGTTGAATTACCTTGGCGAGGGACCCAACCATATGCAGTTCTGAGTAGCGCAGTTGTGCGAACCGTATTCGGTGGAGCTCCGTATGTGGCCATGAAACGTGTGAGGGGTGGGCCAAAACGGGGGTCCCGCCCGCATGAGAGCATTGCCACTGGAGCCTTAGGTGGAGCCACGTATGAGGCCACGAAACACGTCAAGGGTGTGCCAAAACGGAGGTGACGCCAACGTCTGAGCACTGCCGTAGGCGCCTTCGGTGATGGAGCTCCCTATGGGGCCACGAAACGTGTGAGGGGTGTACCGAAACGGGGGTGTCGCACGCACATATACACACGCACACACGCGAGCTGCACGACTTGGGCCTTCAGGTGGAGCTCCCTATGGGGCCACGACACGTGTGAGGGGTGTGCCGAAACCGGGGCGACGCCCACATGCGAACTGCGCCACTGGGGCCTTGAGTGGGGCTTCCTACTGTACCACGAAACATGTGAGGGGTGCGCCGAAACGGGGGCGACACCCACGTGCGAACTGTGCGGCATCAGATGGAGCTCCTCCCTATGGGGCCACGAAACGTGCGAGGGGAATGCCAAAATGGAGCGGCGCCGCCATGCGAACCCTGCCACTGGTGCATTCGGTGGAGCTCCCTTTGGGGCCACGAAACGCGTGAGCGGTGTGCCAAAATGGGGCGGCGGCGCCATGGGAACTGCGCCACTGGGACCTTACATAGGTGGAGCTCCCTATACCCTATAGGGCCACGAAACGTGTGAGGGGTGTGCCAAAAATGGGCCGGCGGCGCCATGCGAACTGCGAAACTGGGACCTTAGGTGGAGTTCCTTATGGGGCCACGAAACGTGTGAAGGGTGCGCCAAAATGGGGCGGCGGCGCCACGCAAGCTTCGCCATTCGGACCTTAGGTGGAGCCTCCAATGTGGTCGCGAAACGTGCGAGGGGTGTCCCAAAATAATGCGCCAGGGCCATGCGGACTGCGCCACGGGGACCTTAGGTGGAGCTCCTTATGGGGCCACGAAACGTGTGAGGGTGTGCAAAAAGTAGGGCGGCGGTGCCATGCGAGCTGCGCCACTGAGACCTTAGGAGGAGCTCCCTCTGGGGCCACGAAACGTGTGTGGGGCGTGCCAGAATGGGGCGGCGGCGCCATGCGAGCTGCGCCACTGGGACCTTAGGAGGAGCTCCCTATGGGGCCACGAAACGTGTGAGGGGTGTGCCAAAATGAAGCGGCGGCGCCATGCGAGCTGCGCCACTGGGACCTTAGGAGGAGCTCCCTATGGGGCCACGAAACGTGTGAGGGTGTGCAAAACATTGGGCGGCGGCGCCATGCGAGCTGCGCCACTGAGACCTAGCTCCTTTGGGGCCACGAAACGTGTGAGGGGTGTGCCAAAATGAAGCGGCGGCGCCATGCGAGCTGCGCCACTGGGACCTTGCATCGGCCCAATGAAAGTTCCTGGAATTTTCATCACGACGCTGGCCGGCGGAAGTCGACGGAAGTAAAACGAGGCGGAAGACGGGGGAAGGCCGCCGGAAGGCTTGCCAATGTCAGCGGAAGTAAACGACGCCCCTTCCGAACCCCCTACCCCCGTAGAAGCCTAGCAATGTTGTCTTCCTCCGTGGGCCGGGCGGGATCCCGCCTGGCTTATTCCGCTTTAATATTATAAATTTAGTTCAGGACGGTCCGAATCCCACCCATTAAAAATGGGGTAGACCAAAATCCCGGGCCGTTCACGGATCCCACCATGCTGGGATCGGCTCGAAGTAAGATGGGGCTCATAAGTTGCAGTATTACTGCCGTGTTGGGGTCGTCTTGAGGTCATCTTGAGATCATATCCTGGTCATGTTTGGATCACGCAACCATCGCGTGGTCATTATGAGGCCACCCTGGGTGCGCTTGGATCCATCTTGTTGCCATCGGGCCATCTCGGCGTCACGCGTTGTCATGTGTTTCGTCATCTGCGAGTCGGCCTGAGACGGTCCAGAATCCATGGCGGGATCGCGTTGGGGTGGCATCATCTTGGGTCCTCTGGACGTTATCGTCCGTGGCCTGAGGCATTCCTGGAAGCATGTTGTGGCCATGGGACGTCTTGGGATCGCGTGCGTGCGAACGCTGAGCACGCGCGCGCAACTTTTCATCTTGCCGACGGGTTTATATACATATCACTCCTCTTGCGAGTTTCCAAGGAAACTTTTATTGGAGCCAAGCCTGTCCGAGCCCCCGCATGTCCGTAGCGATTTTGGCTCCAGGTTCACTGGTGCCTCTGACGCGCGTTGGCCATGGCACCGACTTGTCCCACTGCCGAACTGAATTGCCATCCCTGTCGCGCGGGATGTAAAAACCGACGCAGCCTGTCCGAGCCCCCGCATGTCCGTAGCCATTTTGGCTCCAGGTTCGCTGGTGCCTCTGACGCGCGTTGGCCATGACGCCGACTTGTCCCACTGCCGAACTGAGTTGCCATCCCTGTCGCGCGGGATGTAAAAACCGACGCAGCCTGTCCGAGCCCCCGCATGTCCGTAGCCATTTTGGCTCCAGGTTCGCTGGTGCCTCTGACGCGCGTTGGCCATGACGCCGACTTGTCCCACTGCCGAACTGAGTTGCCATCCCTGTCGCGCGGGATGTACAAACCGACGCAGCCTGTCCGAGCCCCCGCATGTCCGTAGCCATTTTGGCTCCAGGTTCGCTGGTGCCTCTGACGCGCGTTGGCCATGGCGCCGACTTGTCCCACTGCCGAACTGAGTTGCCATCCCTGTCGCGCGGGATGTAAAAACCGACGCAGCCTGTCCGAGCCCCCGCATGTCCGTAGCGATTTTGGCTCCAGGTGCACTGGTGCCTCTGACGCGCGTTGGCCATGACGCCGACTTGTCCACTGCGAACTGAATTGGTCGCGCGGGATGTAAAAACCGACGCAGCCTGTCCGAGCCCCCGCATGTCCGTAGCCATTTTGGCTCCAGGTTCGCTGGTGCCTCTGACGCGCGTTGGCCATGACGCCGACTTGCCCCACTGCCGAACTGAGTTGCCATCCCTGTCGCGCGGGATGTAAAAACCGACGCAGCCTGTCCGAGCCCCCGCATGTCCGTAGCCATTTTGGTTCCAGGTTCATTGGTGCTTCTGACGCGCGTTGGCCATGACGCCGACTTGTCCCACTGCCGAACTGAGTTGCCATCCCTGTCGCGCGGGATGTACAAACCGACGCAGCCTGTCCGAGCCTCCGCATGTCCGTAGCCATTTTGGCTCCAGGTTCGCTGGTGCCGTTGACGCGCGTTGGCC